TGAAGATACCATTCCTCAAGTAACGGGAGCACCTAGCAGCACCTTACTATCCCATAGATCGCAGCTACCAGTGAATTCTACCAACTGCACGTTCATGCTGGGTCGAATAATCACATCCCTGGGAATTGAAAGGACCTTCGTAACATAGTCTCTCATCTCGAAGAGACTGTGTTTCCAGGACCCATCTAGTTCCTTTTCGTAATCTGACAAAGTCTTTTCAGCGCATTGTCTTATCCAGAAGGACTCGGCGTCATTACTGCTGTGTCTAGAGCCAGGAACTGTGAAGTTAAAACCGTCATTGTCGAGAAGAAAGAGATCACGAATCGGACCCTCTGTTTCTTGATTGTTGCCCACAAGGTCGAAGGAAAAGAATGATCACCGCCACCTTGAGCTAAAATTCGCCGCTTGATGCGAGCTGCCTCTTCGAACCAGTCATAAGAGATTAGCAGAAGCTGGGAATGTTTCGAGTTTTGTCTTAGTTGCAGCATTTGGAAACAAGTGATGAGCCTATCAACGCGCTCAAGCAGCGGAGATGTTACTGATGGAAGTGAAAACCGCGAGTCCGAAACGTAGTGGTCCAGCGTCGTCAAAAACAACGCCATGATAGTTCCCGGACCTAATAGTTTTGACCTATACCCAAAAGGTTGCTTCTCCGATATGATCTCTGTTTCCAACCCAGGACAACCCAGGACTAAAATGAGCGTGAACCTGGTTGCCTGCAGAAGCCCACGCCAATTCCCCGAACGAGAACTCGCATGAAATACTTTGACGACGATCAGGCAGTCTTTTGGTATGAGGGAATCGTGACATCCCATCATATCTAGCCCTATGATATAGCGGCGTGGAATAGAGGTTGATGATGTGACACAATACGGAGCCATCGATCTCCAGTTCGATCCCACCGTTCTGAATGCTTATTATCCCATCGGTGCATGGTCTACAACTCATGACACACATCTTTGGGCGGATATTTAGGGAGAATAGCAGATAAGCCCAGCAAGCCGTACCGGCTTGAAGCAGATCCGGGGATAACATATCTTTTGGAACACGCGCCTTCCAGCCGCTCCATGATAGCTTGAACTTTCCATCCTCAACGGATATAGTCTCGCCATTCATATGTAGTGAAGACGGGATGACTCCGTCAATGCCCACAAGGTATTGTTCAAAGTCCTCCAGGCGGAGGACAGGGATGCGACACTGGCCATGTTCGTCTATAGCCTCCTCTTTCCAATGCCCGAGGTTCCGTTTCAACTCCTGCGCCTTAGCAGCGCTCTGGTAGAAAAGGGCCACCGGCTCGCAAATTAGGGTTATGATTGTACCCGCAAGACTGATCGTCTGAGCTATATGGCTCTCGACCTTCGAGACATCAGAACTTGATGGCTGGACTTCGGCCTGTGACACATTCGAGAGAGAGGAGTGACGCTTCATTTCCGGTCGCAAACAATTTCGAATGAATGTTGGAAACGGTCTGGAGCATGATTAGAATCTTATAGTGTCGAAATTGCAGCCGCAACTGACCACTTCACTTTCAACTGACCCACGTTTTCCGTCTTCGCCACCCCATCAGAAGAAAAGGAGAGGCTCGCGCTTGCCAATTTGAATCAAAATTCTCAAGTTCATCACTTCTTCCAAACGATTCCCTCTGACCTTTGCGCAGAGTTTTAGTCTAGCAGCGTATTGATCGAGAGTCAAATATTCCCAATCTTAGCCCAAGGAGCTGGAAGTGCTGGAAACCTCAGCTGCAAGGATGCATGACATGCACAGGACTAGATAGCTGAGGAACGGGTTATAAAATCACCGGCAAAGTAGTATTCGTCTGACCACCCTTTCAGGCGCTGTTACAACGTTATCGTTGGTTGGCACATCAGAGTCACCAAGTCTGGGCAATGTTCATTGGCTGAAGGCGATTCGCCATGCCGCCGGCATCATTGGTTCTCACATGACCTTAGGACAGCCTGTCTCAGAGGTGAAAGTCGGTTGTCGCTGCCCTCTCGCACTACCGCATCCGGATCCGGGTCAACGTGGACCGGCATTTCTCCCGTTTATGTGGGTCACGATCCTCCGTCTGCCTGCGCCAGTCCAACGAAAAGTCGTGTTAATTCAAAGGGAGAAGCATGCTAAGGGATAGCCACGCGCCCCTGCCACATTTCAAGTATTCCAAGCTTCGTGCAGTGTCGCAATATCAATCTGTCCAATCTCTTTTAAATAGCCTGTAATATCCTCCTCACCTCTCCTCACCTCTCTGGCCGTCAGTCCGTTGCCAAAGTACTCGAACCGATTTTTCTCAGCCCCAGGCCGCCGGACGAACTGGAAGTCCTCCCATCTGGGGTCGCGAAGAATGTCGGCGCGGTGATGGAATGTTCCCGGCCACGCGATAAGCACGTGAGTCGCGCCGGCCCCCTGCTTGAACCAGCTATTGCACTTATCAGTCGTCACCTTGTTGTCGAAGTAGCCGTTGGCTATGTCGTTGAACTCCCGTGCAGTTTCCTCACGTGGATCGAGGGAAGCATAGCTCTGAGTTTGAACCTTGCGGATGCACTTTGCGATGTAGGTGGCTGCAATCTCAATCTGCAGTGGTACGGTCCCTCCGCGAGCGTTGCCTTGAGCCTAGAGGTATGTTATGTCAGCCCGGCATTCCTTTTTACCATCCTTATGCTGACCGTACCTGCAGAACTGTGAAGTAGTTTGGGAATCCTGGTGCCATGATGCCCAGGTATGTCTCTGGATACCCGATTTTGCCATCCGGCGCCCACTTCTCGCGCAGATCGATGACATCATTCCCGACCAGGGGAAATGCCGCAGAATAGGTCGTGTCGAACCCCGTTGCTGCTATGATCACGTCGACCTCTCGTCGCTTGCCATCGGCTGTAATGATGCCTGTTTCATCTACAGACACAATGGAATCTGTCACATAGTCAACCTTCTCTGACTGTAGTCCTTCTAGATATCCTGGTGCGGGGGTGAACAGTTTGCATCCCGGGGCATAGTCAGGGAGGACTCTCTGGAGCCAGTCTTCGTCTCCATTGAGCCGCTCCTTCATGCATTTGATGATCTTCTCCCGTAGCTCGGCATTCTCTTTGCTTCCGATAACATCTGCAGCAAAGCGATTGTGAAACTTTGTCTCGAAAGCTCTGCGATGCTCAAGATAGTAGACTGGATCTTCTCGAAAGCGTTGTCTCTCCTCTTCAGTGTACTTTGGACCTCCAGGAGCATCTGCCGTTGCCTCATGAAGGTTTCCAGCGAAAGTTGGAGTTACCCACGTTTTGGTGCGAACATAGTGGTCGATATGAGAAACTTCAGGGAGGATATTTGGCAAGATCTGCTGACCGGAGGCACCATTTCCAATCACGGCCACCCTCTTTCCTGCAACCTTGAAACCTTCAGGCCACCGTGCAGTATGGATAACCTTTCCTCGGAAGATGTTTTGGAGTCCATGAATATTGGGAAAGTTTGGTTTGCTGATGCGACCTTGCGCGTTTACGAGAAAGTCCTCTGTGTTGACGAACACATCCCCGCTTCTCAAGTCGCGAATCTCAACGGCCCACTGAGATGCTTCTGAAAGCCAAGTCGCCTTGACAACCTCGTGTTCGAGATGGACCGAATCGTCTAAGCCGTGCTTGCTTATAACCTGCTCGTAATATGCCTGGATCTCCGCGCCTTTGGGGTAGTATTCAGACCAATTTGTGTTCGGTTCGCAGCACAGTTCTGCGGTATCAAATTTAATAAATGGAGGTAATTTGAGGAGAGTCAAATGCGAAAGAGAAAACTCACGATAGGCATGAGAAGGCACATCGCATCGAACTCCCGGATACACGTTCGCAGCCCATGTTCCTCCCTGGATCTAGAGTTAGAAGGGGGCTCGGAAGTAATCAGTCATTCAGGTGATAGTCTCACCACTCTGCTTTGTCGCTCGTAGACTTCGATTGTCGAATTCTTCACCTTTTGGGACAAGAGAACGGCAGACGCTATGCCTCCAATGCCAGCCTCCACAATGATGATCTGCCTCGAATCAGCAACGACATGAAGATGTTCGAACGCCACGTAATAAAACCTTAACAGAACGAAAAGGCTCCCAAGGTCTGTTCTTTGGGAAATATTTGGTACTCTCTCTTGACGGCTCGTTATCACTGTTGACTGGCGGGCTCGCCTGCTCTTCCGTGTCACTGGATATCTCCATCCGTGCCATGGTCCGCTCCAAGAAAGATGCTTATTGTGTCGTATGAGAAAACACGTTTACTCTCGAGAAGCTTTTGCCACTCAACTTCTGTACTGCCATTAGTACCTTAGGTAGAGTAGAGCTGTGGTTCTGACCGAAAGGCGTCATCTATCCAAGACCCGTGGATGACAACCGTCGCTGGAGATGACTTGACCGCAGGAAATATGATAAGCTTGCAGATGGACTTACGAGCAATCGAGCAATATAATGACAACCAGTCTTGGTCGCATGCTATTCGCGCTAGTAGCCTCGGCACCAACCTTAGGTATGGTGATCATATTATCCAAAGAGTGATACCCATTGCGACATACCGGCTCCACATCACACAAGACAAGACAAGAGGAAAATCTTAACATGGGTGTGATCGCGTCAACAGCGTGGCCCCCACGTGCTCAGCCGTTGGTACCCGGAAATAACGGTCATCATGTCTTGGCGTCAGACACAACGTTGCTGAAGATTCAGAAACTCTGTTGGGTAACCGCTACGGGCAAGAGGAAACATCCCATTGCGCCATTGTAGGTGTTCTTTACGCAACAGAATGTGAATGCGGTATCGGAATTCTTGCGGGAATCCTGATTGGGCCTTTTGGGTTCGGCAGGAGCGTGTGCTCTTTGCCAGGTCCTCGGGACGGGTTCACTGATCAAGTCTCCAAGTTCGATCAGCAGCTGCGTATCCAGCCCATGCAAGACACAAAATTTGACAATACTCTTCCGTCACTCTGTTCTCAAAAAGTCTGTTCTCAGAAAAGCGTTGCGTTGTATCCTAACTTCTGCAGATGCGAGCCATGGCAGAGAAACAGAGCTATGGTGTTGACGTAGCCGCAAAATACCGACCAGAGAACGCACGCGACGCGGATCGACAAGAAGATACGGATGGTCCCCCCGAAGAACACCGGCCGAACCGAAACTTCAGCAAAAAGTCATTCTTTTCCTGGTTCGACAGAAACGATGGACCCTTGGAGCGAAGAGTGATACTGAAGCTTGACTTTCTCATTTTGACATATGCTTTCGTGGGCTTCTGGGTATGCAGTTGATTGTCAAGTGATTTATCTGGGTTGGGTTTCTTGCTAATCATACATGTAACAACAGATTTTGTACATCGACAGAGGAATCCTGACCAATGCGTACATCAGTGGCATGCGAGAAGGTAAGCGGTAATCATCCTATTGAAAGCTTAAGATGACTCAACACCAGGCAAGATCTCGAGCTCTTGGGCAATGAATTGGTGCAATTGGGGTCCATCTTCAGCGTGGGGTACTGTGTGTATGTTGCCTTCATTCCCTTCTGCAAATCTCTTATATGCAGACTCCTGATCGGGAATACAGATCTATGATACCAGCAACGCTCCTGGTCACTAAGTATCCTGCTCAATATGTAATTCCGACTTCGATGACGATTTGGGGGATATTTACATTGTTGTGCTACCGTGCAAACAGCTTCGCAGAGCTGGCAGGCTATCGCTTCTTAGTTGGTCTTCTTGAAGGTGTGTTCAATGGTATCGCGGACAATGATGACGGCTAATTTAACAAGGACCTTACTTCTGCTCGATACATTATGTTCTCGGAAGCTGGTAAGTCACACCCGCTACCAACCCCCAGGCTCTTTTAGGGCGACCTTCTGAAACTTAGGCTACAGGTATCGAGGCGACGAGCTTATGCGCCGAGCTGGAATATTCTACGTCTCAAGCGGCGTCGGCACGATGACAACCGGCCTTCTTGCTTCTCGTGTCTATCAATCCTTAGATGGCGCTCTGGACCTTCCGGGGTGGAGATGGAAGTACATTGTTGCGTCGATCATGACTTTCCCGATTGCCGCATGGGGGGCAATTACCTTCCCAGGTACACCAAAACATGGGAAAAGATGGTACTTCACAGACGAAGAGTTTGCCTTGGCGAAAAAAAGAATGATTCTTGAAGGTCGATTCGATCCTGAGGGACTGAGCTTATCTTGGCTTTCCGTCAAAAGATTCCTCGGCAGATGGCACTTTTGGGTGCTCGTCCCTTGGAATGTGATGTGGCTGATGGGGTACGAGAGTATGGTCACAGGGAGCCCAACTCTGTGGCTGCGAAGCAACGAACAATATTCTGTGGCACAGGTCAACAACTTCAGCGTGAGTCCCGAAACCACCTGGCGTAAACTACCATTGCAACTCATTGATTTGTATCCCTAGGCAATCAGTCCAAGCATTGGGATCTTATTCATTCTCGGGTTCTCATGGACAATTGATAAGGGTGGGCAGAAAGCAATCGCTCCCTTGATTGGAGCCGTCAGCCTGCTTCATTTCATATCCAAATTTGCTTGGATAGTTTACGATCACACTTCATTTGGTTTCAAGTGGTTCGCCGTGGCAATTAGTTACATCGAGGTCTCCCTCTCTCCCATTAACTACAGTCTTGCGAACCTTGCTTGCGCCGGCGATGCTGAAGAACGAGCCTTTGTCGTCAGTTCCATGTTAGCAATCAGTACAGCATTCGGAACATGGGTTCCTATCGTGGCGTTTCCAACGGTTGAAGCTCCTCGCTTTTTCAGGGGTTATATCATGGAGGCAGTCATGCAGGTGACATACTTTTCATGGACTTGTTTCGTGGTTTGGTACTCAGCGAAAGACCGGCGTCGTCAACAGAACGCAGGGGGCCCTACAGGTGATTCGTCTACGTAGACGATTCATCTGCCAGCCTCAGCGCCACGACCTGCTTTTCCTGGTGTTAGTTGGCGAAGCCTTTGTATCCTCCTAATCGAAATCCACGCAAATGGACCAGATGCACGTGATAGTTTGGAAGTAAAGCTTCATCAACTGCGCAAAAGCTCATCACGTCCAATCACTATGTACGAAGTGACAAGACCTCCATACATCAGTCGAAGCATACGGTTTGAGCTTTGCTGCTCGGCCGGAACAAAGACGACGACGACAACAGCGAGAATACGGTCAGTCCTCCATCCGCATTGCGCAAGTATAATCTGTACAACGTTTTCGCAAAATAGGCTGCTTGAACTCGTTAAAGACGTAATCAATCTCCATTTGCAACGATCACTTGGCCTTGCGGGATAAGTTCCGTCAAAACTCCGATGTCGGAATTCCATTTCATCAGAATTCGTTGCCCGAATTGATAATCAGGTTACTCGTATGGCTTGTTCTATGCACCTTAGGATGGCACATTCGTACGGAGTGCATACAATTGCGTGCTAGATGCACTACAGCGAATCGGACGGGTTTGGATTCACTTATCAATGGCGCAATTGAACAAAACATCCCACATTCAAAGGATCAATCACGCAAGTTCTTTCAATGCCAGCAGACGGGGCATTCTTGAAATCAGCACACATACTCGAAGATTGGTATAGGTTCTTCTTCTATCTCTAGGAGGTCTGCGTCACCAGTCGTTCGGTGCCAACGTCGTCCGCGACTCCTACTAGATCTTTTCTTTTTCACTTTCGCGAGATTTCGTTTCCCAAGTACAAGAGCAGCAATTTTGGTTCCTTCAAAATTGTAGTTAACTCATTGCTGAATAAGTTTATTGACACTTACTTCAACCCATCGCCTCACCGAGAAATAATGGCGCCGGACACCCCTCTCCACCCAGCAGAAGCCACGTCAATCGATGTTCTCAAGGGCAAGATTGATGGGGAGCGAAGATACGGATATGACATAAACGGAAAACAGAAGAGAATCCTTTTAAACGCGTTTGATATGAACGGCGTTGGACATATCAGGTACGCGGATGGTTGAGTGGTCTGTAAATTGTGTTATACTCACTAGTACTGAAAGCATAGGACAGTGGCAGAACCCAGAAGACAAGAGCTCACACAAGAATTGCTTGCCCTACTGGATCGAGTTAGCGCAGCTCCTTGAGAAGGGAAAGTTCAACGCTTTATTCTTAGGTATGTCAAAATTCCATGTGCTTCCTCAAGCCGGGTGGCTCATCTGTGAAAGCCGACAACTTCGGAAGCCACGATGTATACCAAAAGAGCCATGCCCCTGCTATTAGATCGGGAACCCAATGGCCACTTTATGATCCATTCGTGGTAAGTTGCGTCTGGACTCGGGGCCTCACAACCATCAACTGACGCAGAGAAGGTCATCTCGGCTATGGCTGCTGTCACGAAGAGCCTCGCTTTCGGCGTCACAGCATGCACCACTTTTGAGCCCCCGTTCATTCTGGCTAAAAGGTTTTCGACCTTGGATCACGTCACTGGAGGCAGAATTGCGTGGGTAAGGTTGTCGCAAAGCACAAGTCACTTGTGAGATAATTATTGACAGAGAACACGCAGACCATTGTCACCTCCTGGAGTGACAACGCTGCCCGAGCTATGGGCCTGGAAAAGCTTCCGGAACATGACCTTCGTTATGAGATGGCGGATGAGTATTTAAGCCTAGTTTATAAGTTAGTAAACGTGCTCACGGTCATGTGCAGATACTGTTTGCCAGCTAACTTGGTAATTAGACTCTGGAAGGGGTCATGGGCAGATGATGCTGTGGTCAAAGACTCCACATCTACATTTACTGATCCTTCTAAAGTCAAGAAGATCGTTCACCAAGGACGGTTTTTCAAATCCGAGAGTGCTCATCAGGTTGATCCCAGTCCTCAGAGAACCCCTCTTCTTTTCCAAGCTGGCATGTCGCCGGCTGGGTCAGCATTTGCTGCAAAGCACGCAGAGTGCATATTCATCGGCGGCCCCAACCCGGCATTTCTTGGGGGCAAGATCAAGAAGACCCGAGACCTCGCCGCTTCACAGGGCCGAGATCCATACGAGATCAAATTCTTCATTCAGTTTACCCCGATACTCGGTGCTACAGATGAGGAGGCTCAGGAGAAGTACGAACGATACAAGAAGTACGCAATTGGTGACGGAGGCCTCGCACTTCTCGGAGGCATCCCCGGCATTGATGTCAGCGAATTCCCTCTTGACGATGAATTTCCCACGGATCCCAATCACCCCCTGATGGCAAAACTCACACCGCAGCAGCGGGAACGTCTCCTATCTCGGCCACAGGGATATGAAAGGTGGACACCGCGAATTCTAGCCGAGTTCCAATCCATAGGGGGGAGTGGGAACTTCAAGGTTGGCAGCGGCAAGACTGTGGCTGATGAGCTGGAAAAGTGGATCACGGTTGCTGATGTTGATGGCTTTAACATCGGACATGTTGTCGTTCCTGGCGCCTGGGCAGACGTGATAGAATACCTCATTCCTGAGCTCGAAGCAAGGGGATGGTTGGGGAATGGGGATTACGCAGTCCCTGGAGGAACCGCAAGGGAGAACCTATACGCAACCCCTGGGGATCCCAAGCTAAGAGCATCTCATCCAGGCCACAAGTATAAGTTTAGCAGCCATGATTAGCATCCATGGATGTCAAGACCGCAATCCAATTTACTTCTCAATCCTTCAGGATGCAGAATCCATCGCTTTGGGGCATTTTCTATGGTGTCTAGTGGCAGTTTTTTGTTAGGAACAGCTAGACTGAAGCCGTTGCAGATGTAAGGTACCAATTTGAGACGGGCGGCCTGTCTGGGACAACGTAAGACATCATTCTACTTCAAACTCGCAACGTATTGATAGTGTGGGCCATTTACTTCCTAATTATCCTTCAAGTGCCTGAACAACCTGGGCCCAACTCTTATCGTTATACGCACCTGGAACGCTGTGACCATCGAACAGACTGGCTAGAACCACACGATCTGATTGCTCGCCCTCCCAAGGCTGCCTTCCATGCTGAGCAATGATGTTGTCGTAAACAAGAATGTCGCCTCGCTGCCACTTGTGAAGCACACGGATCTCATCCGTGATCTTCGACAAATGTTCCAGATACTTTTCTGGAATGGGAGTGCCGTCACCATACAGCTGTTTGGTCACCTCTTTCCTAGACCCGTTGCCCCCCTGTGCATTCTTCCAATACGCTGCCAGACCTGTGAACAGAGTCGGCAGATTTGTACCGGGCTGCGTGCGTACTGCCGGAAGCCGGTGGGTCAAAACAACGCCATCTTCTATCCACTCCCATGTAGTATACTCGCCACGACCGTACCGGGAAATCTGAGCCTCAATTTTGGCCTTCTTGGTGGGATCATCGTCTCCTTCCTGAAACTCTTTGCCGAAGGCCTGCTTAAGCGTTGATCCTCCCTCGTATTGACGGTCGAACTTGTACGTGACTCGGCTCAGGATCCCCTTCTCGGTGATCTCGGTGATGAACTCCGGAATCTCATCCTTAGCGCGATTGAAAAGTTCTAGCGAAGATGAAATCGGGGTTTCCCCCCCTGTTTCAGGAGCCTTGTGGTTGTAAAAGAAGATGTACTCCGGAGCGTGTGGTACCTGAGGCGACTCGTTGTGGTTGTAAATCAAGACCTCCTTGGGCGATTCGTTCGCAGGAGCTACATTGGGAGCCAGCAGCGGCCTGTTCACGACAATACCGATGATTTCATGTGGCTTGTAGCCGAAGGCATGGGCGAACTTGCTGAAATCCTCGGCATTGTGGATGAGCAAACCTCGGAACAACAGAGTCCCATGAAGGGCAAGCTTCTCTGTGAGAATCCCACCGCGAGCCTGGAGCGACTTCACTGTCTGGATTATCGTCTCCAGTTCGACATCATCGTCTTGACTTGATGGCCGTAGGGCAAGTGGGATCACCGTGCCTTCGGGGTGAGGAGCTCCCAGATTCCTCTGGTTGGTTGTTGGCAATTCAAAAGACTCAAACACCAATGTTTGTGACTCAGGGTCGGCAGTGCCATTCGGAACGAACAATGCCGAGTTCAGAGTGATTGCTGTTGCCATACTGTAGCGGGGCTGGGCTTGGTGGTCAAATTTGCAGATTAGCGGTACTACTCCAAAAGGTCTACTGGCGAGGGTGCAGACACGGGAACTGGCCGTTCAAATTTACCCTGGGAAACCGGCAGCAGTCCTCTATATAATGAAACGCTGTCACACGTGCGACATGCCTTCGGAACCAAAATCACGTTATCTTTGGGTTCAAAATCGTTGGATCCTTCTGATATGACGCAACACACCATAAGTAATGCTCTGGGATCCAGGATCAGCAGTTGGACACATCAGCCGGTCAGGCGCCATCTTGAACGTTCTTCGATAACTCAACTCAACCTTCACAATTTGAAGCCGGCGATAAAACACCATCATGCAGCATTCACAAGCGACATTATGCGATGAATTATCAGAACTATTCACGTCTATCTTTATCGTAAAATCAGGAAGTGACCGCGGATTTGCTTGGGGCCTCCTCTGTGCGGGGTTCGGTCGCATTCGGTATCACAGTTGCCAGCCGAGTGGGCTTGGTGCACACTCCGATGAGGGGTGCCGATCATCGGTATCGGTCGGGCCCTCCAGCCGGAGCACGCAATTCCTGTAGAGCTGGCGCAAGCCCTCCAATTATTGGATGCTAGATATCTTTTATCACCAACCACGTGTGTGACACGCGGCGAGACCAGCAAGATACCGATCATGTCAACTTCTGGCCGTGTTACGTGATTATGGGCACCTGATTGAGAAGACGTTAAGCGGTGCGTCGGCGCTTCCTCAGCAACTTCAATATATTTGTCGTCAAACTTCGACCAGAGTCCACTTAATCGCTTCAACCGCGATCATACTCAAACCTCCCGAATCAATGTCTCTCAAATCAGCACAGAAACGCATTGTTGAGTCCAACGAGCCAACTACAACTATTGCTACTAGACAAGACCTTTCGGAGCACAGTCAATATGAACCCTTGACGCCCCCATCCTCGATACCGTTCTTCAGAAGCACCCTCTTTCAAATTCTGGTCGTTGGCATATGTGCCTTCAGTGCTCCAGGCATCTGGAGCGCCATGAATGGCTTAGGTGTCGGTGGCTCTCAAAGTCCGAACCTCGTCAATGCGGCCAACGCCCTTCTGTACGCCTTCATGACAATAACCTGCTTTGCTGGACCTTGGATGACGAACATCATTGGGTTCCGATGGACGCTTGCAATAGGCTCCTTGGGCTACCCGCTGTATGCCGCCGGCCTCTATGTCAACAACAGAACTGGCGCAACCTGGTTCGTCTACTTTGGTTCAGTTGCGTGTGGCTTGAGTGCGGGTTTCTTTTGGAGCGTGGAAGGAGCCATAAGCACAGGCTATCCGGAGCAGCACAAGCGAGGACGCTACATCGCGACGTGGTTCACCTTCCGAAACTTTGGTAACATCATTGGAGGGGCGATATCCTTGGCCATCAACCACAAGGTCAACCAAAAAGGTAAAGTTGGGTACCAAACGTATCTAGGCTTCATTGCGATTCAGTGCTTGGGATTCTTCTTCGGCCTCCTTTTTTCGAATCCTGAGAAGGTCATACGCGATGACGGTACATCAATCGAAGCTCCGCGAGGAATCCACTGGCGGGAAGAGAGCAAGCAAATGTGGAAGCTGCTCAAGAGTCGATCTATCGTCCTCCTGATCCCCCTGTTCTGGTACTTCGGATGGATACAGGCCTATCCCGGCACCTACCTGGCCACTTACTTCACCGTCCGGTCTAGAGCTCTGGGCAGCTTCATGTCTGCAGTTGTGGGAACCTTCGCGACGTGGCTGGGCGGATCTCTTGTCGATCTACCCTGGACTAAGAATCGACAGACGCGAGCCATCGCGACTTATGTCCTGATTGCCTCACTCAATAGCGCGACATGGATATGGGCTGTCATCATCCAGAATGAGTATCGATCTACGCTTCCCGTATTGGATTGGGCTCTTCAAGGCGAGTTTGGTCGAGGGTTCGGCGTCTACATGTTTGAGCGGATCAGTCTCGGAATGGTGGAAAACTACATTTACTGGTGTATCGGCAACCTCTCGGACTCCCCTGGCGACCAAATTCGGTATAGCTCTTTACTTCGGGGTATTGAGACGGCCGCAGTTGCCGTTGGCTTCGGTGTTCAAGCCGTGCCAACCGCCCTCATTGCAACGGCAAGCATCAACCCGGGTCTTTGGTTCGTCGCTTTGCCATTCAGCTACTTTGCCACCCTTCAGGTGGTTAGGAAGTTCGACAAACTGGACCGAAAACGGGATGAGACGGAGTCGGTGGGCCGGTAGTGCATATTTCGGTGAAAGCTGGTGCAGCATACGAACTCCTTACCTCCTTGGTGTTGATTGCAAATATTTACTGATCTGCAGTGGAACTACTCGTGCATGTCTTGGAGCGGGTAGAGATGTGGTCTAATTGCTTTGACGTTATACTTCGATCCTGCAGGATGTTTGTTTGCTTTCATTCCGAGACCCACGCTCTATTCGGGATGCAAACTGCTCTTGGACATGTTGACAGACTAGCTTCCATTGGCCGCGGCGGTCTAGGCAACTCTCTGCAGTGCCTTTTTTGGCATCGCCCATCGCCAACTGTTCAAGCTGCATGTTTCAGCCCTTACAAACACCCCCTGACATCACCTTGCGTCATGTATGTGAGTGGATAATGGATAGTCATATTCAAGCCTTACTCTTGAATAAGGTCAAGGAAGACTTCGATCATTGCCAACGAAATGAGATATTTATCAAAATCGTTGAACGCCCAATCAGCTTCATTGCGGGTGAAGTCTAGAACACCCATTCGAACCCGACACTCGGCAACCACATGAGCATTAACAGGCACAGTAGAGATACAGTTCTGACATTCCCTCAGCTGGTAATGATTGGCATGGCCATATCCTGCCGCGCTGGCCTTTCGGCTGAATATGGCCTCAATTAGATGCCAAGATCACGCAAATTTCGAGAACTTTTTAGCAGCCCATGGCGTTCCTTGCGGCCTGAGATTCTTCATGATATGATTCCCCAGAACTGGAGACTGGGTGAAAAGTCTGCTCACAGAGAGGAACAGCGCAGCGACGATCATGCCTGTATGCCTGTAAGTGTAGGGTCGTATCCGTCAATTACCCACTGTGGAAGGCTGGCGCTGAAATGACTGTCGGCCTTGATTCGCTCGCACTTCCAGCTGAAGGCGGGGAACGTTGCATCAAACAACACTAAGTACACGGGAGCGGCTGCACCCGTGGTCAGGTCCTGGCTCTTCTCCACACGGGACGAGATTGCTGCTTCCGCGGTAGCGTCACGGACTTGCTCGGAATTTACTCTTTTCGGGGATTTGAAGGATTCCCGTCCTATTCAAGATCTTTAGTGGCCAACCAACTCGTGTTGAGTGGAAAAATGTGACAGGTGCTAGAAGTTGAAGCCCAGCCCAAATAAAGTGGGAAGCCAAGCCAATATTGTGACGTGCAGCCATGTCATCCAAATAGGAAATGGGTCACTCTGTGCGGCATAGCCGGTATGCATACTATCGTGACTCTGAATGTTGAATGTGTTTGCCTTGAGCCCGGGACCATTGTGGCATGCTTCTCGATGTGGC